CAAAATGAGATCATACAGTTACTGGCAACACAAGTCAAACAGATGATTGTGGCAGATCTGAAGTCAGCAAGATATTACTCTGTTATTCTGGACTGCACAACTGACATCAGCCATACAGAACAAATGACTTTAATGGTGCGCTTTGTAACAACAACAGAACCTAGTGAAAATGTCCCTGCAATGGTGACTGTCAGAGAATTTATTGACATTGATGATACTACAGGAGCTGGTATGACAAATGTGCTTTTTAAAAAGCTGGAAGATACGGGAATTGCGATAGCTGACATGAGAGGTCAGGGCTACGATAATGGTGCCAACATGAGAGGAAAGAACAGAGGAGCACACACACGGATCTGAGAGTTAAACCCTTGAGCTTTTTTTGTCCTACGGAGTTCTCATTCATTGAACTTGGTGGTCAGTGATGTAGCATCAGCTTCTAGTGAGGCTGCTGAATTTTTTAATATAATTCAAAGCATCTATGTATTTTTCTCTGCATCAACTCATCGATGGCAAATTTTGAAGCAACATCTGCTCTGACATTGAAACCACTGAGTGCCACATGATGGGAAAGTCGAGTGGAGGTGATAAAGCCTATCAAACACCAAATTGGGAAGACAGATGATGCCATAGTTGCCATTACGGAGGATAATGCTATGACAGGAACTGTTCGTGGGAGAACAGTGACAGAGGGAAGTGGAATCACCAGAAACATACATAACTTCAAATTTCTGTGTAGCTTAGTGTTGTGGCATGACATACTGTTTGAAATAAATGTTGTAAGCAAGAGACTCCAAGGTGTTTACCTTGATATATCTGGAGCAATGGAACAACTGGACAAAGCAAAGTCATACCTACAGTCTTACTGGTCAGATGAGGAATTTCAAAATGTTCTGAACAGTGCACAGAAGTTTGCAGAGGAACTTCACACTGAAGCTATTTTCCCACCCATTCAAGAATACAAGAGTCACCGAAGAAGACGACATTTTTATTATGCGGCACGGGATAATCCCATAAGAGACCCCAAACAACAATTCAAAGTTGAATTCTTTAACCAGGTGTTAGACTGTGCAATACAGTCAGTTGAAGAACATTTTATGCAGCTCAAGGAACACAGTAGTATATTTGGGATGTTGTATGATATTCCAAAACTCCTTACTATACCTGAAGAAGACCTACACCAGCAATGCAAGGCACTAGAGACAGTGTCGACACATGATGACATGAGCGATATTGATGCGAGTGATTTAGGTGATGCACTGAAAGCCCTTTCAAGATACTTTTCAGCAGGATCAACTCCAAAGGCTGTTCTGGAATATATGTGCACAAATAAGATGACCACCCTCTTTCTAAATGCTTTTGTTGCTTTGCGGATACTTCTAACACTTCCTGTAACAGTTGCCAGTGGAGAATGCAGCTGCAATCTCAATAGAGCATGAGCTGGCCCAGACTGTGGACTTCAGGAAGCAGTTCAAATCTTTGCAACCAAGAAGGCACGGAAAGCACCACTTTGATTATTCAAACAGATAAAAATGTCAGTATTTACTATGCACACAAGAAAAGTTACATTTGCTGTTCAGGCATTTGAAAGTTAAATATTACTTAAAAATTTTGAACAAGGCATTTTAAGTTGTTAGCTCTCCTTTATTGGGGTAGGTAGCAGAGCAGTACCATGAGAGGAGTAGAACAGGAAGAAGGCAGAATTGAGACCTTCAAAGTTTTGGCCCAAGTGAGGGAGCATGGGGGCATCATTTGAGCTCCCCGCCTCAGGTGCCAAAATGCTGTGGGCCGGCCCTGTTCAGCATCAATAAGTACATCAACCTTTGATGCTCTCTCTCTCAATCACTGCTAAGTGGACTAGAGTCTAAGAACCTCAGTTCTACATAAAAGTGGAGCATGTTTGATACAATTAATGGTAAAAAATAAGAAATCGGTGAAGGAAGAGCAGACAGACTCTTTCCTAAAAACAGAAACAACAGTTGATTCCAGAATAGAGGTCATAAGTATTCAAATGCCCTGGTACACCCATACAATGGGCATCTCACAGAGTGCTACAGGGAAAACAAGGAGAGCAAAATGAAAACAGAAAGAGAGGGAAGGGCAACTTTAAAATCCACACAGGATAAAGAGGTAGAGCAGCTAACTTAAAAACTCCACAGAAGTTATATTCTAATCTGAACAAATACAGGTGGTTTCCTGTCCAGGGCCCCATCTGGTGCAAATCAGGAGAGCTCTGTTGATTTCAGTGGAACTACACTGACCTAAACCAATGGGTATTTATGAACAGTGAATCTCTTTGACACATCCTTGTCCTTCCAGAATCTGAAGATCTCTCACCAATCAGACACAGAGAGACCCAGTAACCCAGTTCATGGAATGTCTATCTGTAATAATACCCCATGTATTGAAGATTGCTATTAGCTGACTTTTCTTGTAAACCCCACTAAAGAAATTACTGCCCATCTTCACACTGAGCAAGCCAGCTCAAAACAGCAGAAGCAGCTGTAAAAAACAATTTTCCACAGCTGTGTGTGAGATTCATTCCATAGAACGAGGACCCAATCATGTTAGTTAAAAAAATTATACCAGGGCCACAATTCTTGTTTCAATGGGCCACATCGTCAGCTGGTGTAGATCAAGACAGCTCCACTCACTTTAACGGAGCTGCATTTCTATACAACAGCACAATCTGCTCAATGTCTATGTCAATTACTTCTGTATAAGAGCATTTACCCTAAGACAGCTCTGTCAGCTGATGTATTTAAAACTAGAGTGCGTATTAGTCAGTTTGGCAAAGCAATAAATACTTGGTGAAGTGCTGGTTTGTAGACCACTGTCAGTATGCAGACCATAGCTGAACAGACTCTTTCATTATAGCAGAGTGCCAGCTCTGCTATAGATAAGGTTGAGCTGCGCTTTCTGTTTAGTCAGCTCTTAGTGCATGAGCAAACACCTGGCTCAGGGAATGTGGGTTGTTGATCTGGTCTCATACTGCAGATGCCCAAAATAACCATTGACTCTTGGCCAGCGCCACCATGCCAGGTAAGAACACACGCCATTGTGTTGGTATCTGACTATGGGCTGTTCAGGAGTCCATGAGATCCCCACCATGGAATCCCAGGAGATGGCATGGTCTGGTGGTTTATGCAAGAACTGAGAGTCAGGAGAATTGGGATCTAACCCCAGCCTGGTCTCTCACTCTTTAACATTGGCCAAGACACAATTTCTACATGCCTGGGTTTTCCATCTATAACAGGGGTGGACAAACTATGGCCTGCAGGCTGAATCTGGACCCTCAGGTCTTTGGATCCAGCCCACGGGATTGCCACCCCCATAGCGCTGTGGTCCTGGCGCTGCACTGGGAAGCAGACGGCACAACGTCCCTGCGGCCCCTGGGGGAGGGGGGAACAGAGGGCTCCGCGCGCTGCCCTCGCCTGTGGGTACCTCCTCCGAAGCGCCCATTGGCTGGGAACAGGGAACCACGGCCAATGGGAGCTTCGGGCAGGTATAGTGGCAGTGGCTATAGCACTGATTACACATTCACCGTCACATTTGTGTAATATTGATACTACTATCTGCCACGGCCCTTGCATAGAAGAGGAAAGATTATAGTGGAAAGAGAGAATATTTTTGAAGGAAGGGGGGAAAAGAAAAGGGAGGAGAGGGGCAGGGGAACTGTCAAATCTAAAATGATTAGCACCTAGACTATTCACTCCATACTGCATTGAAGCTGCATGTATCTGACATGGAGCCTGATTATCCAGGAGGAATATGACAGAGGTCTATAAAATCATGAATGGTGTGGAGAAAGTGAGTGAGAAAGTGTTATTTACCCCTTTGCATGACACACGAACCAGGGGTCATGCAATGAAATTAATAGACAGATTTAAAACAAACAAAAGGAAGTATTTCTTCACACAACGCACAGTCAACCTGTGGAACTTGTTGCTCGGGGATGCTGTGAAGGTCAAAACTATGCCGGGGTACAAAAAAGATTTAGATAAGTTCAT